TTTTTGTCACTTTAATTTTCCTTTTCCTCCTCTCTGTGTAGCCCCGAAGTCAGCTCCAGGGCTAATGATAACTGTAGCGGATTGCTACGTTAGTAAAGCCTGACTGACTCAGAAACCTCTATGGCAGATTCTCAAACATCTAGCTAGACTTCCAGAACTAGCTAAGCTATAGCCCAGCTATAAAGAAAACAGACGTGTAGCACGGAGCACGTTTATTCAGTAGATAAACCACGCAAGAAGTGTGTACAGGAAGAAAACTCAGCCATACAACATGGCGGCTTTCGGTAAAACAAACGAGGGCCCTTGAGCTGCTATTGGCTGCGTGCTCTTGTCCTCAATCCGTACGCAGAGTTGTACGGCCGCACCTCAAGCCTATGTGTACGCGCACGCGATGACGTGTCCCGCAATAACTATCAAAACGCCTGCCATTTGATATAAATAAAAAATAAATTTTTCACTGCATTTCCATCTTTAAATTCATTGCAATTAACAATTTTAAAATAAATTTATAATATCTCATTTATACTTTGCCATTTGCAATTGATGTATTACAAACTTATATTCCTTCCATCCATCTGAAATTATTTTTTCTTAAAAATTCATGAAATGGGATATCGTGTGAAGTGGTAAATATGGATTGAAACTGTTAAATGAATGAAAATGATCAAAACATAGTAAATACAGGGGTGGTTCAAACAATTTTATATTCTTTAATTCACAGTGGAAATCATCTTCAATTTTCGAATGAAGTAAATGCCTGATTATTCAAGATAAATTGTTGTTCAATGAAGAATGACAACATTGGGTTGTAATTATTTCTCGACAATATTGGAGTAGTCCTTATATTCAACTTTATCTATGATCAAATTTTACTCATTCAATTATGAAATAGATCAAAGCTACTGGCTGGACGTCGAAAACTCATACTCAATTCAGCCAACAAACGTGGCTGCTTTGACTTTGTGAAAATGTATTAAGGTTGAGAGGAAGTTTAAAAAAGCTCAAAATGTTTGTTAATGCATTTCTTCACTGGAATTAACAAATGGTCGAATGCCAATGCTTCAATTGACAGTTTATTGAGATTAATCACAACCAACAGAAAAAGGCTTCACAAACACAAAATTATTGTCAGCATTTGTGTTCCAATTTATAAGACCATATCAAAATAAAAGATGCAAATATGTGATGGATATGAGCGATCACTTATTCTCAATCAAAAAATTAAATGAGCATTTCATTCATTCAATTAATCGCCCAAACTCTATTGATCTAAGCAATTATTCATTCACCACACTTTTAAGAATTTAACTTTTTAAATGCATATAAATTACGTACGTTTAGTACCTGTGTATTCTATTCACAAGAGGAGTGGATGATGGTTAATATTTTTCGTTTAAATGTGCTTGAAATAATCAGAATAAAAAGAACTTTTAAATTCTGCTACTTCGGGTGATATGTCTAAACGGAATGCATATATTTTGAGAATGTCAAAGCCACGGTAAACGTCTGCCATAAAAATGAACTGTTATATCATCTCTTGTCGAATCGATGGAAACTCCCACTCTTGACTGATAGGCAACAAAGTCCAAAGCTGTTGGATTTCCCCTTGAACACGGTAATACTCAAATGGGAAATCCAATTTCTCTCTTGCTGTGTTAACTATGCCGTTTGATTTGAAAATGAAATTTGTGTTATTCCAAAAACCTGATGGGAATAATCGATGTAAAATGTTGTCACATGTCACATTTTTGCCCACCTTGTGATTCTTGTACTTTTCTTCCTGAACAAAGAGACAATCGTTAATTGCCTCTCGACATTTTGCTCTTATTGAAAGTTATCGCTGGAGAATAGTCTTAACATTAAAACAATTTTTTGCATTTCAAGGAAGTTAAAGGTGGACATACGGAAAACTCGTAACTTTCGCTCCTCATGAAAAATGTAAACAATTTTTTCCAGTAAATCTTGGAAAAGGAATTGCTGTCTCTAGAATACAGGAAAGATGAAATGTATGTTTTAAAATGTTAATAGAAAACGATAACAACAAAAAGGAATTTTATTTGCTAACACAAGAAGAACATGCAATTTAAAAAAATTAAAAGTACCGTTCGGCGCAAAATTGATAACACGATTAAATTTTTCCGCAAGTTTATAATTTATCAAGTTTTGGCGTTCCTCTCAGTGCAATGATAACGTATTCTACATAATCGTGTTTGAGCAAATATCAAAGCCGTTCAAGGAAATCAATTAGCAGAATGTTTATAACAGGGTTTCCAGCACGTATGATTAACTAAATGACGAGCATCATTTTCAATTCTTATGCAAAATTCTTCTCCATTCATAAAGCCTTTAATACAGTGAAGAATTAACACATCAGTGCCTGTTTAACCAAATCGTTACGTACGTCCAAATCTCCTCTTGTTATAATAATCGATGGATCCGTTTCCTCGATTGGCGTTGTGAAAATTCTTGAAATCATATATTCCAAGGCAAGAGTTTGTTAGCAGAAAAACGAAGACGAAAAGAGCGCCGATGATGGTCTTCTGATGATGGTCTTCTTCAAAACAAGATCCCATAATGCAGATCTATATAATGTGCGAAACTAACAATTCGAGAATCAGTATGAAGAAAATAACTGCATGTAAATAAAAACATAAAAATTAACTTGTTTATGGTTGCAACAGAAATGTAATCATATAATGAATGCAAAAATATGAAATTAAAATTATTATCTCTATTTGTCTGTGAAATGTTTAGTTCAGGACAAAGAAAATTGGCAAACAATGAGATTTAATCAATATTTTGCAAAATTTCATTCCATTCAATCTACAAATGAGAGATTCATATTTAAAAAATTATTAAAACGATTATTAGTACCCTGTGATAACTATAAATTACCCATCAATAACACAAGTGCAGTTCTGCATAAACCGCATGCGCAAATAGGCGAGGAACTTGCGCACAGTGAATGCAAAAGTAAACAAGCAACCACTTTTATATTATATTCACTGTCACTGAGTTAGACATAAATAGCCGCATGACTATTGACATAGTTTTTTGAAGCGATTATATTACTGCCAGTAAACAACAACTATACTTTTGCCTGTAATCATGTGATGGATGTACCTCAACCAAGGTAATTGCCAATAAAACTAGTGCGATTGCTCACAGCATATAATGCATGATTCATAAGAATAGAACGACTTTTTGTTTTGCTTGTTCACTTACTGTAAAGGCCAATTTGTAATATCCAACCTTAAATACACGTTTTAGTCGTTTCCACATGAATTTAACCGATTGCTTGTTTAAAGGGAAAATACTATTTCACTCCATAACACTCAAGTGGGCTTGATGGGTCCATGTACAACATAACGTAAGCAGCCATATCGCGACAACATTTAGTATTTTCTCGAATATATCATTCACAGTTCACGGAGCATTAACCGACTTTATAACAGGACATAAACTCTTTATTTTGGGAACAAATATAACTGCTCCATAATAAATAGTGCATTTCCATTGATATCGAAGTTCAAACGTGAGTCTGTTTCTCTTTCTTACAATCAGTTTGGCGCCGTTGAACGCCATCCATTTCCACAAATTGTTAAATTTTCTGAAGGGTTGAGTTTTGCAATAGCAAACAAAAGCAGTAGACAAAAACGTTAAATGAATTACGCAAAAATGATAACTCGTTGGCATATATAATGAAGATAAGTTTGAAACTAATTTTCTGTTGGGAATTCGTATTTAAACACTGGATTCTGTTTATTTGATCAGTCCTTAATGCCTAGTAATAACACAGCAGTACTTTACAATCTTGTTCACAACAATGGTTTATTTGCATTTTTAACATTCAAGCAGATACAATTAATTGAAGCATATTGAAGATATTAAAAAACGTAAATTACATTAATTCTTCAACTGCCCTCTTAAAATTCAATAAATAAGTAAAATCAATCAAACACTGGAAACAACGCATTACCAGCGATTATTTCTCAAATCTTATTTTTACAAAATCAATCGGTTACGTTAAGGCTTAGTTAAATTTACTAAGGTATGTAATTCTTTAACATGGTATCATTGTCAAATGTTTCATTCAAATTCGCGTCGATTAGACCTTACGAGATACTTCACACCATTTTCAATTTCTGCTTATTTAATTACCTTTTAAGAAGGAAACCCCGCTGACACTGTTCAACAAAATCTGGGAAACAAGTCTCGTACCTACCCAATGGAAGTTGCCTTAGTAATACCGGTTCTAAAAATAGGCAAAGCCCCTAGCAACTTTGACAACTATAGGCCTATCTCCCTCACAAGCGTGCTGGCTAAACTTATGGAAAGAATGGTTAACAGGAGGCTCACCTGGTTCCTTGAGACCAACAATATTCTTAGGAGTGAACAAGCAGGTTTTAGACCGCAAAGATCAACTAACCAACAAGTAGCCACTTTCTCCCAACACATCAAAGATGCCCTTGATGCGAGAAATATTCTTACTGATGTATTCGTCAATTTCAAATCAGCATATGACTTAGAAAGAAAAGAGAAGCTAATTCTAAAATTGACGAAGATTTATATTTAGCATAACATGCTAAACTGGCTTAAATCATTCATTGGACAAAGATCATGTAAATTCAGATATGAAAACGTTCTGTCCAAATCTAATCTTTTGCAAAAAGGCCTTCCACAGGGAGGTGTCATATGCTGTGTTCACTCCAATGTTTTCATCAACGGCATAGCTAAATTAGTACAGATAGTCATGGGCATCGAGTGCCTAATTTATGCAGATGATCTTGTTCTATGATATTCTACCCCTAAGAATAGCATTCAAAATAAACAGTCAATAGAAAAATTAATTCATCTATGCTTTTTCATTTATTTATTAATAGAGAATACAATTGTAAAATCTTTCTAATGCCAAAATGAATAAATGGTCAATCATTGGCCAATGCGTCTTAAATGTATTCATTTAGATCTTAGTTTACTACCATTGGTTTGCGCAATCATCAACGCCAAACATTTGCATTTTGGGTATACACATTTGACAACACCACTGCAGCCACATTAATTTCATCGACCAATCGACAAGGGGGGAGTGGAGTTGGAGGAGTTGACGTGTTGAGGGTTAAGGGGCTGAGGGTTGGAAAGTGGGGGGTCGAGGTTTTTAGTGTTTGGAATGAGGATATAGATGTTGTTGTTGATGTTGGGGAGGGTGGTAGAGAAGGGCGAAAGCGATGGACGCGGGTTAAGTGGTGCATGTGGATTGATTGTAAGAATTGGAGGTGGATGGGTTGAAGATGGAACAAGAGAGAATATTGGGAGCAGGTGTTGAGATTGCGATGTTGATAGAGGTGATTTTGGTGTTGTAGAATTGATTTGATGGCAATGAAGGTAGAGTTGGATGAGGTGGCGTGGATGGAGTTGTTAGTGTTTGTGATGGGCGTGATGATCTTGAGTGCGGCAGTTGTGTGTGTGAAATTGGGAGTGGTGGAGAGAAGACTTAAGTGAGTCATTGCAATATCAGTGCCTGTGGCGTCAACGCTAGTACGAGAAGGTGGAAATGGTGCTGAAAGAGTTGACGAGTTGAGGGTAAAGTGGCTGAGGTGAAGTGAAGTTGATTGAGATGGGCAAATTGTTGTGATTGAGCCACGGGGAAAGCGGATTGGGGAGGATGCTGGTGGATGTGGAGGTGATGTAGTAGTTGAATGATGAGAGGTAGGAGGGTGTTTGCGTCTTTTGTGGTTAATGAGGTTTGATGATGCAGTGAATTGGTAACCACACACCTCGAGTTAGAATTTTTTAACCAAAATCAAATATTTGAAAAGATGATCCATTAATATAGTGCGTTAATTGGTAAGAAAGAGGTAGACTAGAAAATAGCCATGTCTTAGTGAAGAATAAAAATAATTATCCGTTTAAGGAGTCGATCACCTTTACTGCTTTAAAAAGTTATAGTAGATCATGTGTTCATGATTGAAATTAAAAAAGTCTCGTTAAACGAAATGCGGTATCGTTGCAATGATTTTATTTGTCTTTTCTTTACTTCTTTGAAGTTCTGCTTCGAGTCGCATTAAAAATGAAACGTGCTGGATCTGTTCAATCCTTTGAATCAGGTTTTATTTCTAAAAAGATCGTTAATAATAAAAGGATAATGTGACACTCAAACGAAAAATAAATACTTAAATAAACGTAAACTAGAATACTGCAAACTTTTCCTCATCCTGTGGCTTTAAGTTGAAACTCCTTTAAGAATTTTTCTCGTAAAGCTGATGACTTCAGACGTTGATCTCAAAACTATCCGTAAATTGCTAATGTCGCCGTATTTCAATACTAGTTAACAGAGTACTTAACTCCAGCACCCAGGGTGCACCACGTGGAGGTAAGTCTATCGCACACCCCGGATAATGTTATATAGTACATCAATAAAGAGCATATCCATTTTTTCTACAGAGTTACTAACTTGCAAAACTTTTGCTTCTTGAATGCGGCAAAAGGACTAATTTATTTTCATTCCCACAACGACTTGTTGATGTCATGAATTTGTGTCCAATTCCTGTCAAACTTATATGACGTGATATTTCGAATGATAGTTTACCTGTTTACATTTGAATTCGTCTTTGAAGTGCAATCAGTCGATTAATTCGAAGTTGAAGTCCTTCTGAGCTGACTTAGTGATCATTATCCATTCTGTTTAATCTGCTATGTGATTTCCAATTATTAACCAATTATTCTTCAAATAAGCTCATAGACTTGTATTTTGCCAATCTCACTTTAAGTTTTATTAATTAAATTAGCTTCATCGACTGTGCAGACTAGTTAATGATTTTTCCAACTAATCAGGGGGTGTAAATTTATTGAACAATAAAGGATTTACGTGATAGCGGTCTTTCAAAAGATTCATTTATTGTAAAAAATACAGAAAATAAAATTTATATTTATAATCATTTGTTTATTTTAGTGGCAAATAAAAGTTTAATTATCTTGCGTTTTATTTCATTACAGATTTAAGATAAAATTGATTGAAAAAACTGTTATAAAGATGATTGAAAGTTTATTTCCTTCCCATCTCTGAATAAATACATCTAGAGGGATAATTACTATAGTTCCAGCTAAATAATTTCAACCTGATGCAGCTTTAAACTACCGTAGTTCAGCGAGCAGAGCATTCACAATGAGTCGTTTCCTAGACGCCAATGGTCTATAAAATAAGGTTTACTTGAACATTTTGCTAAAATATGGAAGATACAATTTACAAATCAAAATTGTGGAATATAATTTTTGAATTAAATAATTAGATAGAATTATCGGCGTCGATTGAATCCTCACATGTTCATTAACATTATAGGTTGTAAAAATGCTATCAATAAAATCACCCAAATGTAAACCATTTATTCAAAAAGAACGTTTTTTGACTTTTGATTTTTGCCGAGAACTCATTACCTTGCGCAAATTGATTAGAACTAATGCGTTTGTTAACAATTTGTAATTCTCGATGAAAAATAATACATCTTTTACTCACTTTCATATCCGTTTAAACCACAACTTTATTTAAGCATTGAAAGTATGCCAATCGCACAGCAAGAAAATTTCTACCACCAAAAAACCGACGATAATTGTTTTCAAAAGATTAATTTTTTTGTAAGAAAATACAGAAAATGAAATTTATATTTTTCATCGTTTGTTTATTTTATTAGCTATGTGACTTCCAAATGCCAACCCATTGTGCCTTAAGTGGTCTCGTAGACTTGTATGTTACCTGCCTCACTTTAAATTATATTAAATCAAATTGATTCATCTATTGTGCTGACTACTGTGGGACACGTCATCGTAGCCTTGTGGGACACGTCATCGCATGCCTGCACGCCAGGACTGGGAGGTGCGACCGACGTCATCGTATGCCTGCACGCCAGGATTGGGAGGTGCGACCGTACAAACAGTGACCAATCATTAACCTCTGTTTGTTTAACCTAATCCACCATCATGATTAAGCTTCCTGCGTGTACACTTTTTCCGCAATATTCGTAGTGAGTTAACGTGCTTCGTACTACACGTCTGTTTTCTTTTATAGCTGGGCTATAGCTTATCTGATTCTGGGAGTCTAGCTTGATGTAGGAGAATCTGCCACAGAGATTTCTGAGTCGGTCGGGCTTTACTAAGGTGGCAATCCGCTACATTACTTGAGAATTTTCTCAATCAAACAGTCAGCGTAGAGTAATTAAACAATATAAGATTTACGTGGTAATAGTCTTTCACATGATTCCATTTTTGATGAAAAAAATACAGAAAATGAAATTTATATTTATCACTATTCGTATATTTTACTAGCAAATAAAAATTTGATTATCTTTCGATTTATTTCATTACAAAATTATGATAAAATTGATCAACAGAGCTATTATTAAGATGATTGAAAGTTTTATTTCATTCCTATCTCTGAATAAATACATCGAGAGGAGTAATTACAATGGGTCCATCTAGTTAATTTCAACTTGATATAACTTTCAACAACCGTGGTTCAACGTGTAGGACATTCACTTTGAGTCATTTCATACACCCTAATGGTTAATAAAACGCATTCCACTCAAACATCTTTTGGCCGAAATATAGAAATATAGAAATCAAAAGTGTGAAAATCAACTTTTGAAGCGGATTGTTACATAGAATTATCGGCATGATTTGAATGCAGTAAATGTTCATTTACATGATACTTTGTGAAAAATCAATTTATAAAATTACCCGAAAGTAATCAAGTTTTGAATAAAGTTGTTTTAGACTTTTGATTTCGGCATTGAATCCAATATTTTACTCAAAATTATTAAATTAAACGCGTTTTATATCAATTTGTTACTCTCGATGAGAAACTCAATTCATTTGTGGGACACATTATCGCTGTGCGCGTCATCGTATGCCTGCATGTCTGCTCGCCAGGATTGGGAGGTGCGGCCGTACAACTCCGTGTGCATCGACTGTACAAACAGTGACCAATCATTTATTTATTTATTTCAAATGGCAGTCGTTTTGATAGTTATCATTAACCCTTTAGCTGACTTCGGGCTTCACAGGGGGAAGGAACATCAAAGTAACAGAAAGTCGAGGGGTGGGGAACAGAAGAGTGATTTACAGATGTAAAGACCCAGACATGAAGGCAGAGAAAAGGTAGGATGAGTACTGCGCCAGAAGTCAATCGCCAATTAATAGACTTTTTTGCCGTATGAGTATACGTTGCCCAGGGTGCACCACGTGGAGGTAAGTCTATCACGCACCCCTGACCAATCATCAATCTCTGTTTGTTTAATCTAAACCATTATCCTCATCATGAGTAGCTCCCTGCGTGTACACACTTGATCCGCAATATACGTCCTGAATAAACGTGCTCCGTGCTGCACGTCTGTTTCCTTTATAGCTAGGTTATAGCTTAGCTGATTCTGGGAGTCTAGCTAGATGTTGAAGAATCTGCCATAGAAAGTTCTGAGTCAGTCAGGCTATAATAAAGTAACAATCCGTGGAGCTATAGCTTAGCTGTTCTGGGAGTCTAGCTAGGTGTTGGAGAATCTGCCATAGAGATTTCGGTCAGGCTTTACTAGCGTAGCAATCCGCTACAATGCAATCCGGTCAGGCTTTACTAAGGTAGCAATCCGTTACAATTCTCAACCGGTCTGGCTTTACTAAGGTAGCAATCCGCTACAAGTCTTTAACCAAGGCTTTACGAAGGTAGCAATCCGCTACATGTTCGAGAATAATAAAGTAACAATCCGCTACACATTAGTTTACGCAAAATGATTAGATTAAATGCGTTCTGTAACAATTCGTAATTCTCGTTGAAAAACAATACATCTTTTTATCACTTTGATAACAGTTTAAGCGACAACTTCATAAAAGCATTGAAAGTAATTAAATCGCATAGGAAGCAAACCTTTACCACCAAAAAAACTGACGAGGTAGGAACTCTGTAAATATCAATTCTTATTCATTATCGAGCTGAGAGGAGGTATTCAATGTCCATTACGAGTCAAATTGATATTCGTTCATTAAATGAATACTATGACCATTCAAGCGTTTGTGATTACAACTTAACATTTTAAGAGTAATACATGATTTCACATATTGTTATAATGACTGAAAATGTCAAATTAATTACATGAGCCTACTTAGTTTGCCTTACGGATTCCTTGGCATAAACCCATTTATGTATACATTATTTGGTTTAAGGTCGTTTCTTTTAATTCGTCTTTAGGCACTTCCAAAGCATCAATTTGCAAGCCAAAGTTGTTTTACAATTATTAGGAATAATGTTGATAAAATTACAACTAAGTTATATTAACTAGCAAGTGCATTTTAAACTTAAATTCGATATATATCGTTTGATTTAATTTTATTGTTTGTGCTTACAAAGGTTAATTCCAATAGAAATGGGAAATACATATGTTGTGTCTACTTTATCCAATTGAAATGAGGCTCTAGAACACTAATCGTCTGTTTTCCACAATGGAACGACAAGGTGGTTCAAAACTATGTTGACGATGTCAAACACAAGTAAATTGAGTAGGGATCACTATGAGCAATGTGATTTTGTGGTTGTTTAATTGAGACGACACAAATCAATGACAATTATGAAATAGAACAATGACTGGAAAACAGCAAAACACAATAAATGACATTGAAATTGTGATCACCCTGTGCTATTTCACAGTAGTCCTAAATATTGACGAAACTTTATACAAGTACTTCACTAGAAATGTATTAATAGGCCATAAAAATCAGATAAATGGCTGCTTAACGATCTTGCCTAGAAATCAAAGGAGGTACAATTTTTTAAAATTTCGTTTACTTTCATTTTAATTGTTAAGATAATGGTCTGAATCGGGTTATACTAACGATTTCTTCAGATTCAATGGGTTGGAGATTCACAAAATTTGATTTGCATTAATTATTCCAGGCTCCAATGAGCGATTTGCAGAAGAACTGAATGACAAAATATAATATCCGATTACAACTGGTAACTGTGAAAAAATGTATTATAAGTGAAAACTTACTAACAAACAGAGAACCAATGGCGCAACCTATTTTGAAGTGTACAAATAAAACTCATATAATTACACAGACTCACTCGTACACTAATTCAATTTCACCAATGCATTCATTTATGTTGTTATTTGCGTCATTAAATATTATAAAAAGGATATTATCTTCAGAAATTTAACTTTCAAAATGCATAATTATGATATATGATTTAATTGATTTAATTTTAGCCTTTTGATTAGACGCTTTTACTTCTTCTTCTTCGATGTTAATTGCATGCAGCTGTTAAGTTTGCAATATGATTTTTGCTCAAAAGACCACGTTTGCTTTGAAAACTGATTTTATAAATACATATTTTGTTATATATGATATTTACAATCATAATATCGTCGTATATGTGATAATAACTGAATGGATTCAGTGTCCTTATTCACATTTCATGAAAACCTACGTTTGAGAGGCAACTTTTAATGTTTCTAAATTCAATAATCTGAGTAGCTGTTCATTTACGGAAGCCATATGAAAAAATTCTGAATTTTAATACCCATAATCGTCTGATATTAAATAATTTGGAGTGCTTTGCTCAATCAACAAATATCAATCTTCTAAAATAGTAATTGGTTCATGGCAATGCTCTCATGCAAGTAAATATATCTATCAATGTCTCCACACACAAAAAACAGTCCAAAGCATTATCATCGAATACGTCTGTCCCAGATTAGCTGTATAATTTGCTAAATATTTCTTGTTATATTATGCATGATTATGAAATTAGTAATAAATATAACGCTTTAAGTAAAGATAAATAAATATAATTCAAATTCACACTCACCACTGCCTGATGTTGTTACTTCTAATAAAGCACATTTTTAAGTTCATTTTGTTTATTTTTTCATAGGTTTATTTAATTTTCGACGGTATTTTTTAACTAAAAATTCATTGCAATTAAGTATTTTGACGAATTATATTAATGCAGATACCACTGTTTAATATCTAATTTATATTTAATTTTTAAATAAAATTATTTGCTATAAGCTTATATTCTTTTTAAGCACCTAAAATAAATTTTCCTGTGAAATTCAAGCATTGGGATTGTGTACTAAACAGAAAAGATGAATGAAAACTACTAATTGAATGGAATGTGTTAAGAGGATTATGAAAACATCCAAGTTATAATGTAACCAAAAGTGTTTTCTCCAGTCGTCCAAAAAATTTTATTTTCATTCATTCACAATGAAAATCGTCTGTAATTATTAAAAAAAAGCTGAAGCCTAACTTCTCAAGCTAAATTGTTGTTCAATGACAAT